CACCAGCCGGCCCTGCCCTCGCGCCCTCCCCACCAGCTCCCGGTTGACTGCGAGGGCAGAGGGGCCGTGTGGGACCTGCCGGCCTGGAGCCGGGCCAGCTGCTCCGGCCTCGTGCGCACCCAGGCCTCCCCTGGCGTTTTCAGAGCCCCGGGCCTTCTCCAGGCCACCCCTGCCCCCGGCGCAGCCTCCGCTCCGTCCACACGGCCGGCCAGCCTGGGGCTCACTCGTGCTCTGGCCCGCGTGGGCTCCACGGGCAGCGCGGAGGACCCGCGAGGAGGGGGGCCCGCCTGACCCTGCAGGCCGCGTAGCTGCTGCTGGGGGAGAGGCGGAGGAGGCAGGGGGGGCGGCGTGCGGCACAGGCGTGCGGTCACAAGTAAGGTGCTGCCCCAGACCCCAGGAGACGCTCAGGCGGCATCCTCAGAGCAGCCAGCCTCGCCGGCCCCTACGGGCCACCTGCTGCACCCACGGCCCAGCCAGCCAGTGGATGAGCGAATGAGTGAGTGAGTGAATGAACAAAGGCTAGGGGAAGCCTCCATCTGATTCGCCCCTGCTGCATCTGCCAGAGCAACTCACGCGTGATAACAAGCTGAAGAACATTCCAGACACGGGGGGTTGGAGGAGTAGAGACGTAGGGGCGGGCCAGGGGCGGAAGGCCAGGAGGACCTGGTGAGGCCGAGACGCCCTCCCCAGGCCGTGGCATCGGTCAGCAGCCAGGCCCGGCCTTTCGTTTAGGGCCCTGTACCCCAGCTGGGCGAGCGGATAAGATGGTGGCGGGGGGGGGGGCACTGCCCTGCCCAGGGGTGATGGCTGCAGAGGGGACACAGAGGGCCACGTCTCCCGCCCGGGCTGCCGGAGGCCAGGGCCTGGCTCTCCCACGACTGCAGGGGCCAAGGTGAGGAGGGACAACAGCACCAACACGGAAGGCCATGGCCTCCTGGAGGCCCAGCGTGGACCACGTGTGCAGGGCAGAGCCAGCCCCCGCCTGGCTCAGGCTGCCTCCTGAGCCCCAGGCCCCCCGTCCGCAGCGGCCCCTCAGGGGGACGTGAAAACGTAGCCGGAGCCCCCGAGAGTGGACCCCCCGCGTCCTGGCTGGTGGCCTCGCTCGCAGCCTGCTGGCTCAGGCGCCCCGTAGCCCCTCGGCCCCCTCCCCGGGGCCCCGCTGGCCACACCCTGGGCAGAGCCTGGTGTTTCCCAGCACAGGTGCCGAAACCGGCCGGGGCCTGACTCAGGGCGGGCGGGCGGGGTGCAGTTTCTCACTCGCCCCACGCCCTGGGCCAGAGGGGAACGGGGGCCCCAGGGGCCTCGGAGGCCTCTTCCCTCTGGCCAGACTCAGCCCTGCGCCCACCAAGCTGCTGGGCCTGGACCAAGCAGCACCCAGGGCCTGGGGCCTGCCTGGGCTTGTCACGGCTCAGGCAGAGGCCCTGGGATCCCGTGAACACCCCGGCACCCGCCTGCGGGCTGTGTCCCCAGAAGCTCCACTCTCGATCCCCAGATAAGGCGTGACTCGGCCCCCGTGGGGGAGAGGCCGCCCGCTCCTCCTCCCTCAGCTGGCTTGGGGTGGCCATGCCAGGCAGGAGAGGCCGAGCGCCACCACGTGCTGGGGCAGGGAACAGGCTGTCTGCCAGCACCACACGGGGTGGCTGCTCTGGCCCTCGGTGAGGAAGTGGGCCCCCGCCCGGCCCCCAAAAGCCCTGGCACCTGCACGCCCGTGAGGTGCAATGATGCACCCCAGGACTCACGCCCCGCAGGGTGCTCTGGAGCGGGGTAGGGGAGGGGCGCAGGGTCCGGCCACCAGCGAGGGACTCAGGGATCAGGGCTGGGCCACACCCTTGGGTGGCCCTTCCCCCCTCCATCTTGGTCTCCCACCCCCGGGTCTGCTCCTGCCCTGACCGCCTCGGCCCCGCAAGTGCCTGGCAGGGGAACCGGGCAGCCAGCAGGGCCACTGTCACCAGCCCGTCATCGCACCCTATCCCACAGCTAGGTGTCCTGACGTGGGAAGGGAAGGCTCTGGGGGCTTTCGGGGCCACAGGGCCAGCCCCCACCCCCGCCAGGAACGAACCCAGACCCTCCACCTGCTGCACTCAGACCCCGGGGGCCCATTCCAGCCTGACGGACCGCCCCCTGCAGACCCCACAGGCCCCGCCGTAACCCAGGCACAAACCCACGTGCGGAAGGGCCACCTCTGCCATCCCAAGGGCTGGACGCGGTGGTCAGGTGGTCTAAACAGAAGAACCATGGGGGCCTGTGGGTCCCTCAGAAGCGGCCCCGTCCTGAGCAAGGCTTCAGGGCCCCACACTTCCCCTCGGGAAGGCCGGCTCTGCCAGGCCTGGGCCCCCACGACAGAGTCCCACTGCTGGAGGGTGGAGACAGGTGATTCAGGGACAGACGCAAGCCAGGCGTGGGGCTGCCCTTTACATGGCCAGGGCAGGGACAGATGGCAAGGCCACTGCAGAGAACCCACGTGTCACAGGAAAGCACAGACACTCCTTCCTGTCCCACGGAGGGACCTCCAGGGAGCTAGGTGGGAGTCATAGGGGCCGGCCATGCCCGCCTCAGACCAGGAGTGGGGCGGGGCCTGGGGAAAAGCCAGGAGAGGCTGGAGACACCACGGGAAGCCGGCGTCCAGGGCGCAGAGACGCGGGCCGGGGAGGGACTCGCCATGGGCCATTAGGGTGGCCTGAGCTCAGGGCCCAGCAGCCGTGCTGAGGACAAGGTCTGAGGTAGCTCCCATACCCGGGGCCCGGGGGTGGTGCTCCCTGGGGGTCTCAAGACACGTGACCTGCTGAAGTCGCAAGGGGCTGGGCTGCCCGCCAGGCCCAGGGGACAGAGAGACTCCCCGGAAGGTCCCAGGGACTAGGTCGCACTGCAGGAGCCACATCCCCGGGATCCAGCAGCGTGGCCCAGCCCATAGACAGTCACCGAGAGGGGCTCCTGAGCTCGGGGCCACATGGCCAGAGGGGACAGACAAGGGGCAGCTGTCTCACACCGGCTCCTCCGGTCGACCCCTGGCCCCGAGCTGGGGTTACCTGCAGGGGCCTCCCACCTCGTGGTCTGGGTGCCCCCCTTCCAGCAGCCACTGGCCTCTCCTGGCCCAGGGCGGACCCAAGAGCCGTGCTGTCCAGTGTACGGGCCACCTCGGCCCTGTGCAGCCTCCCGGGCACCACACTCCTGCGGGACCCGCGGGTGCCCCCATGCGGGCCCGGCCCACGCAGCTTACTGATCACGTCGGCGCCCACCACGGCCAGGGGCGGCAGGTTGGGAGAACGGAAGGCCGCGAACCTGCGCGTGTCCACCTTGGTGACCCGGGTGCCCCGGAACAGCTGGTTCTGGAAGAACAGGCAGACCTGGGGGGCAGGGATGGCGTCGGCGTGAGGGACCCCTGCCCCCCACATCTGCTTCATGAAAACTCACACACGCACGCACAACACAAACCCACACGACCTGGCAGGAAACATGCCACACACTGACGTGCCATCTCCGGGCGTGAAGGGAGGGGAGACTTTTTCTACATGATTGTGGATTTCGCTTGCGAGGTAAAGGATGGGTCTTTAAACCCCTATTCAGCCCCCCACCTGCGTGTCCCACCTGAGGCCACACCCACGGGCCCCGGGAGCACACAGGCAGGCACCCAGCGCTGGACCCCAGACCCAGGCACCGGCCCCGCCCACCACACGGGGAGGAGGGCTACCTCGGGGATCACGTACTGGCCGGCCATGAGCAGGGCCCCCAGCAGGTTCTCGCGGCCGTCACTCCAGAGGGCGTGGATGGGCACCTGGTGGTGGGGGGGGTCGGGGGAGTCTCTAAGGGCCATCCAGGGGCCTCCACCGGGTCTGCGAGAAGGAAGGGCCGGGCGGGCCCAGGCTAGTGGGAGGCGGGGGTCTATAGGAACTGGCCACTCGGACGACGGCTCCTGCAGACAGCACCAGCTGCCCCGTGCGCAATGCCCTCTGCTCCCCCGCGGGCGCCGGAACCTGCTGCTGGTGGCCAGCGGCCAGCCAGTTCCCACACTGGAAGGAACATTCGATGGGCCTCCCACCCGGGGTCCACCTCGCTGCCCAGCCCAGCTCCCTGGCCCCAAGGACACCTCGGCTTCACTCCCTCACTGGCCCGGTCAAATCACAGGCCAGGCGAGGGTGGCCAGGGTGTGACAGGAAAATGGGCTGCAGTGGAAGAGACCTCATGCGCCGTGCCCACTCCTGCGTCCACTGTGGGGGCCGATGCCCCAAGGGCAACTCGGACCAGTGGCCGGCCCCCTGCCACCCCCACCCAGGAGGCTGGAGGTGGGCTGGGCTGCTGTGGGTGTGCTGAGGCCAGGGCAGCAGGAGGGGCTGGCTGGGGTGAGGTCAGCGGGGAGTGACGGGCCACAGTCCTGGGTCCCTCCCCAGCTCTGCTCCTTCTAAGGTGTGTGGCCATGGGTGAGCCGCCCTGAGCCTCCAAGCCTCAGTTTCCCCTCAGGTGTAACAGGAAGAAGGACGTGTCCTCAAGTCTGACGTGAGGGCTAGAGCATGTGTGTGACCCTTCCTGAGGCCGCGGTGTTCATAAACCTGCCTGTCATCCCTCGAGACAGGCCTGGATGCAGTCTCAGGTCTCGGGAGGATCTGGGAAGAGCCAGAGTGAGCCTGGGCCCCGTCCCTCTCAGGAGCCTCGAAGGGGAGGCGCTCAGCAGCTCACGGTGTGTGCGTAAGGCTCTGGGCATCCCTGTGTGGGCCAGCCCACTGCGACACCCACCAGGGACCAGGGAGCTGGAGCAGGGCAGGCAGACAGGTCAGCATCCTGCAGACCTGGCAACGGGACTTCCCAGGAGCTTCTCAAAGGGACAGCACTGGCTTCCGAAAGAAAGTCTCAGCCTCCGGGGAAGGACCCCAAGGGACATGTGGGGTGCTGGCCCCAATGGCCACTGGGGTTTACGCTTCTGCAGCTGCCCTTGCCATGCCAGCATAGGCAATGGGGACCCCAAGTCGGCCTCTGATGCAGGCCCTGACAGGGGTCCAGACTTCTCCTGCTGCCCTCCACAAATCCAGTGGTTTTCTAGAACATTCCACCTGCTTTGGCTTTGGAGTGGTGCTGGGTCAGGGCGAGAGGAGGGGGCGGGAAGTGCCCAGGTCCCCGAGGATGGCGTCAGTGGGAACCATCGTGGGAAGAATGATGGGAGGGACAAAGGCAGGGCAGCTCGGCACGGCAGCTGGGCATGGCTGACAGTGGGCCGTGGACCCCCCCACCCCGGAGGGCAGGGCTGCCACGCGGCAGGCCCAGGGTGCTGACCAGCGCCGGCCGGCCAGACAGCACAGGCAGAGCAGGAGCGGCGGCAGGGGCTGCAGGCTGAGCCGGGCCCCGCAGCACCGACGGGCCCCGTGGCCTCAGGAAGGTCTGACCCACGGGCCTCGGCCCGGGCAGCCTGGGACGTCACCTGGGAGCCGGCGAGGATGGCGGTTTTCTGCAGGTTTTCCAGCACAAAGGCGAGCGCGGAGGCCACGAAAGCCATGGGGTCAGTGCCGTGGAGGACGACGAAGCCGTGAAACTGCTCGTCGTGTGTCTGCGGGTGGGAGGCCGCCTCAGGCAGGCCGGCCCCTCGCCACTGCCGGCCTTCCGGGGCCCAGTGCCCGGTGGCCTCCGCCCAGGAAACATGGAGGGCCCCGCGGCAGGAGGGGCAGGGGCCAGGGCGCTGTGGAACCCCGGTCACGGGAGGCTCTCTCTGGAAACGAGCTGCTGCCCGGGGCCCCAGCCCCCAAGCTCCCCCTGTCCCAGAGCGGTCTCTTCCTGACCCTTCCCCACGACGCCCCTTAGCGTGTGAGACTACAGGGTCTGAGGCTCTCCGGACATTCCCCAAGAGCAGGCAGGTCCCCCCTCTAGACTTCCGGGTTGCGCCTCTCCCCAGCGATGCCCAATCAGGCGCCCGAGAACACTGGGGACCAGCCAGAGCTCAGCTCAGCGCTCCAAAGAGCCCCTTGTTGAGTGACCCCTGCCTCCAGGGCAGCAGGAGCCATGAGGATGAGGTCACGAGCCTCGATGTCCAATGGGAGGGCCAGGCGTGGACACAGCAATGTGCAGGAGGCATGGGCCGTGCTGGGAGCTGACAAGTGACCTGGGAAGCTGCCTGGAACTGGACCTGGGCAAGCGGGCAGGATGCTGACGGGCAAACTGGGGAAGGGCCCTTCCGGCTACAACCCTCCCAGGCGAGTGGGCCAGCTCTGCAGGAGAACAGGTGGCTAGACAGGGATGTTCTCCGGCCACCACCTCCTAGAGGACAGCCAGGATTGGGCGTCGGTGTGATTGCAAAGGGCACAGCCGTGGAAGCCCAGAGGCCTAGCCCTTCTTGAGGGGCACCCCCTTCATGGCTCATGGAAAGACCGAACCAAGCTAGCCTGGGAATTACAGAGCTGAGCCACGGGGCGGGCTGGGGTGCCCTCTGCTGGCCTCACAGGGCCCAGTCGCAGGCAGGGCCACCTGGCTCTGAAGGCCCTCTGTGAGTCTATGATAGCTGGACCCTGCAGCCAGGACCACAGTCAGTGACACTCAGCAGAAAGCTCAGGCACTGCACGGAGGGGCCTGCTGGCCACAAACCAGAGAGACTGCCCAGACCATGGCTGCATACATGCCCACTGTAGCTGGTGACCCCATTCAGGGACATAAGGGCCAGGCCCAGGGCCACACACTGTCCAAGTCACTCACAGTGAGGGGGACAAAGCCCAGGAAGCTGTCCTCCTTCGAGCAGAAGGAGACAGGTGTGCGACCGGGGCCCGCTCCCTGGCTGCCAGGGAAGGGGAGCCTGTGTGATGAGCCTCTGGCGAGCAGGTGAGGCTTGTTGACCTGCGGGGAAATATCACACATCCCCGCCCAGGATACTGACTGGGACAAACCAACTGTACACACGAGCCAGGACGCTGTTGCGGCAATGTCTTCCAGGGGAAGGAGGTGGCAGTCACTGCCCACCCTTCACTTACACGGGGGCAAGAAGCCCTGCTGCTGAGGTATGACCCCCGCGAGGGCCGGGCACTTTCCCGAAGCTGCTGCTCCCTGGCGCTCCCAGGGCTCAGCAGGCAGACTGCACCACTGACCCCAGAGGGCTTCTGCAGTGTTGGCCCCGCCCCGCC